AAAAATTTGATTCTGGTCCTGAATCAACTGAAAAATGCTCATGTTTTGCCCCCAACAGTTGAGGAAAGTCCTTTTCTTCCTAGTTGTTACAGTTTTCCCATCTATCAATGCAGTGGTTTGATTAAAAGTTCAAAATTTATACTTTAAATTTTATCCCAGCCTTTTTTGTTGACTTCATGGCTCATATTGTAGCATTTTGGGCTATAATAGGATGCCTAGACCTGTTTTATTTTTATTTTTTTTCGCCCTGTCGCTTCATATTTTTTCTGAAAAAATCCGAGAACCAACAAATTAAATTGGTGTGGCCTAAGGCAAGCACAGGAATGGGAAGATCATGTTAGAAGTTAACTGATAAATGTTTCTGTTCCTGTTGTAAGCCCTAGGAAAAAAATGCTGTGTTTCCTCTTTTTGGGAATGCATCTACAGCAGCGACACCTGTGCTGCAGTGCAATGTGTACCAGCCAGAATTGCCCTGAGGAAGTTGACAGACGGTCAACGAAACGTCGCCTTTGAATAAAACACTTGGTTGTGTAAAAAGAGTCTCTTTACTCGATGAGTCCTCATGTGGGAATGAAGACCGATTTTGGATGCACATAAGCGGCCACAGATATATGCAGTTTTATTGCTGTTAAGGCCACACCAATAATTTAATTTGTTGGTTCTCGGATTCGCCTCTTCGTTTTTTTCTGATTTGCCAAAAAAAAAAAATGATTCTGGTTCTGAATCAACTGAAAAATGCTCATGTTTTGCCCTCAACAGTTGAGGAAAGTCCTTTTCTTCCTAGTTGTTACAGTTTTCCCATCTATCATTGCAGTGGTTTTGAGTGGTTCAAAATTCAATGTTTAAATTTTAACCCAGCCTTTTGTGTTGACTTCATTGCTCATTTTGTAGCATTTAAGCCTATAATAGGATGCCTAGACCTGTTTTTATTTTTATTTTTTTTCGCCCTGTCGCTTCATAATTTTTCTGAAAAAATCCGAGAACTAACAAATTAAATTGGTGTGGCCTTAACTTCAATATGTTTTACCCCCACAGATGGTGTAATATTGTTGTGACCCAGCCCAGGCGAATCGCTGCCATCAGTATCGCCCGCAGGGTGGCAGACGAGAGAGGGTGGAGACTGGGGGGCATCGTGGGCTATCAGGTGTGGAAGTTAACTTTTTATTGAGAAAAAAACACTACCGGAGTAGTAATGTGCCTAGGACAAGTCTGTTATTTACCTTGTGTAAGAAGGTTCTTGTCACAATATTTGGGACAGTATTTGTGCAGCGAGCGACACCAAGCTTCAGTATGAATCAGAACCAGTCAGAACCATGAAAATGGCGGAAGATGGTCACCGAAAAATTGGATGTGAAAACCTACACATCTAACTGCAGAAGTTCTTTGAAGTTATCTAGTGACTAGGCCCCAATTGTATGTACGTGGTGGCAGCGAGTTATACTCTATGAATATCTCGAATCTTTGTTTAAAGTGAAACCTTTAGATCCAACACAAAGAGGTTCAACACAAAGCGATTTCGACCAGACTCTCTGGTCTTTCTCAGAAGACTGACCCAGTGAGGCTTGTCACGTGGTCAAAGGTATCTGGTAAACGATGTCGGCCCCCGTCGCGGTTGAGTTTTTTTTAATGATTGCCATGTAAATAGTTAAGGTTTTTTATGCGACGTGTAATCCCCTCTGTTTTGAAATGATTTATGCTGTATGTTAAGTGTAAATGTGATGTTACATGTATTGGAACCCTGGAAGAATAGCCCATAATGGGCTAAAGGGTATCTCAATAGACTGAAACTTAAACTGAGTGAAGGGTGACGGGCCCTGATGTAAATATTAGCCTCCTTCACCCTCTCAGGACATAGTCTTGCTCAGTGTCCAATATTTTTACAGTGTCCAGTGAAACAATCTTCGGTCGATAAGTCTGTTTCCTATCTTGAAAGTTCATCTGTGTTGGTTTGTTTGTTTGTTTATTGGGAATCTCCATTAGTTATACAAGCTGTGTATACTAATCTTCCTGGAGTCCTTTCACATAATAAAATACATACAATTATCAACTTAATAGTTACAAAAGATTCAACAACATTATACATAACAATTGCTTAACAAGAACAATAAAAATTACTAAGTAACAGTAACTACTTATTAAATTTACTTATACTTCTAACAACAGCAAATATACAAGTTGTGGAGAGGTCAGAGGTACACCTGTGCTCCATTGGTAGAAGTCATTATGCAGCAAGATTAAACTGTAATTTCCAACACAAGAAATTGGACTCACCCAAATTTTCGACTGTACAACTCCAGTCTTTGTCAAGGAGTGAACAATCCACAATGCAACCTATGATCCACTGCTCAAGGAGTCACGTGTGCTATCTGCGTGACGTCACGGAAGCGGTGGATTGTTCATTCCTTGACAAAGGCTGGAGTTGTACAGTCGAAAATTTGGGTGACTCCAATTTCTTGTGTTGGAAATTGCAGTTTAAAAGAAAGTTTTATTGCAAATTCATGCTCGAGGGCTAATTGCATGAACAGAAGAAACATTTGTATAAAAACAGATAATTAATACACATAGAACTACTGATAACTATTAAGAAACTACTAGTAAAAAACTACTGGGTTTGACTTCTTTTTTGAAGACAGAGGAAGACAAAGGATCCCACTTTTTCTATAATTTGTGGGTTTTCGGATGTTAAGAGGAGAGTAGTTTTCATTTATATATGTGTGAAAGTTTGGGTAGAATTTGGAGGCTACGTCAAAGAGTTCATTAGTGTAATCTTGCTGCATAACTCTGTTTCCTGAATGTTTTGTGTTTGCAGGTTGGGATGGACAAGCAGCAGTCAGACGACACTCGTCTGTCCTTCGTCACCACCGGAGTTCTCCTGCAGAAACTCATAAACACTAAGAACATGAACCAGTTCACTCACGTCATCCTGGACGAGGTCAGGCACTGCACATAACGTTTTCTGTAGCTGTATCTGTACAGCCGGTATAACTGCCCTTCGCAGGCATGCAGCTTGGTGGCAGCTAGCTAGTATATTACACCGTACGACCTGTTACACCCAATCTTTGCATATTAAATTGCACTGTACGATACTTATTATGAAATACGAGTTTTTGAACACCTCAATTCATGGTTAATAACTCTGATATTTGAAGGCATTTTTTGTAAAAGACGGAGTCCCATAGCCTTTTTGAGGTTGTTAGGACAGTGGGTTGTTGCTCCACTTCGTCTAGGGCACAGTGTTGGAAGGCAGGGCCCATCCCCAACTGAAGTCAGGTACCCATTTTACACCTGGGTGTAGGGAGGATAGTCGTGTAGTAAAGTGCCTTTCCATTTAAGGACAGAACGTCTTGCTAGGATTGCCGAGGATCAAACCTGTGAACTCTCAATCTCCTCTTTGCTAGCCTGGCAACTTGGCCATTCCATGCCACATTGAATTTCTTTTTTTTTTTGACTTGTAAACTTGTGAAAGAAAAAAATGGAGATCTTAAAAAATTTAGCAACAAAGTCTTAGTTGCAATCTTCGTGTATCACAACGGTGCACAAAGAACATTACTTTTGCTTATCATTGTACAGGTTCATGAACGGGACCAGGAAACAGACTTTGGCCTGCTGGTGGCACGAAAGCTGCTGCGGTCCAACTCTCGCCACGTGAAGGTAAGAACCTGTAATTATTTTCTTGTTTTTCCTCCAACACAGTAGCATGTAGGGACTAGGCAAAAGTACTTTTTTTAGAGCTCTTTTGTCATCATGCATCAAACCCTAATCAAACTTAGGATGTCGGCAGAACGTACTTCACGCGAAACCTGTGAGGTATTGTCGGTATAACCACCCTTCGGCATAACACACCAGGCACGTGGTACAGTGGCAGCTGGCTACATTAGACCGAACAACCCTTGAACATCTAACTCTAAACATTGTTTAAAGCTGTCTAATGACAATACCCTACTGTACCTGGTGACAGGGAGTTCCACCCTGCGATAGTTCTAGGAAAGAATGAGTTTTTGAACACCTCACTCCTTAGTTGATAACTCTGATACTAGAAAGACATGGCTATTTCTTGTTCTTTTTCAGATTATCCTGAATTTTCTACCCATGTTTGCAGGCTACTTCAAAATGAAACCACTGCAGAATTGAATGCCTTTACAGTGTAACAATAACTGGTATACAATGTCCCCACAATGAAAGCTGAAAGCTTCTTTTCTAGAACAACATCACTATGGAACAAGCTACCACATGATTGTTTTCATATGGGTATAACCTTAAACTTTTCAAGTCTAAGGTCAACAAACATCTGTCCTCACTGTCTGTACAGTAACCCAAGACATTTGAGTGGCTCCCATGAAGTAGGAAAAAACAACAACCCTGATCTCTGTATACAGGTGATCCTGATGTCTGCCACGTTGGACAGCTCCATGTTCGCTGGCTACTTCAGCATCCCTGTGCGGGGGGAGCTGGCCCCTGCCCCAGTCGTCACGGTGGAAGGGCGGCTGTTTCCCGTCACCGAGTTCTACGTGGAGGACCTGGCACCACTGGGACCGGTATGTCCAACTACCTTCTCTTTCTGTATCTGGATAGCTGGTATATTCGGCATAACACATCGGCTTCTGTATCTGCATCTTTATAGCTGGTACAACCACCCTTCGGTGTAACACATCAGCTTCTGTATCTGTACAGCCGGTATAACCACCCTTCGGCGTAACACACCAGCTTCTGTATGTGTAGAGCCGGTTTAACTGCCCTTCGGCATAACACATTCAGCTTCTGTATCTGATTCTGTATAGCTGGTACAATCACCCTTCTGTGTAACACATCAGCTTCTGTATCTGTATAGCAGGTATAACTGCCCTATGGTGTAGCATATCAGCTTCTGTATCTGTATAGCCGATATAACTGCCCTTTATAACTGCCCTTCGGCATAACATACCAGCTTCTGTATCTGTATAGCCGGTGTAACTGCCCTATGGCATAACGCATCAGCTTTTGTATCTGTATAGTCAGTATAACTGCCCTTCGGTGTCACACATCAGCTTCTGTATCTGTATAGCCGGTATAACTGCCCTTCAGCGCAACACACCAGCTTCTGTATCTGTATAGCCAGTATAACCACCCTTCAGCGTAACACACCAGCTTCTGTATAGCCCATAAAACTGCACTTGTGCCAGACATAGTACCCATTAAACGTATAATGTAGAATTTTATTATCTGCCATACATTGTACCTGTTACAGTCATTGAGCAATAAACCTTGCTTGACTTGTATCTGTATAACGCAACACACCAGCTTTGCAGGCACAGCAACTGGTTATATTACCCCAGGTTACACCCAACTTTGGCACATCAAACATTTTTTTTACCTTTGTCCTCAGCTCCCTGAACTGCAGTTGGACAACCCTGACATCAGCGGCCAGTCCTACGATTTGGCACGGAAACTCATCCTGTACTTTGACCAGCTGGAGGCTCAGGAACAAGGGTGAGTTCCGTGTGTCGGCAGAACACTGGCAGGCAACTGAGGAACAATAATGCGTTCACTCTTCCCAAGGCCAGAACTGAAAGACTGAAACAGTCATTCCTGCACACTGCAGTTAGACTCTATAATAACTCTATTTCCTAGCCCATGACCCCCAACCATCATCCTGTGATCTTTGATCTTTGTTTAGTGTTTGTTATTATATTATGCATTTTTGTCAGTCTCATGCACATTCAGCAATATTCATGCAATATTCAGCACATATAGTAAGCACTTGAGCGTAACCAAGTCATCCGGCAGCTCGCTGCAAGCATCCCAACCGGAACCAGCACGTCTCCCTCGATGTGGATCCGCTGGGGAAGACGGGTGCCCAAGTGTGTGGGTCTCAGATTCGCAACCTGTTATCCACCTTAAACAAATTCACGCGAAGGCCGCCGTGTCAACTGTAACCCTCACTCAGGTGTAGGGACTGACACGGTCATACTACTCGGAAAATCTGTATATCTGTATATCTGTACATGAATCTGTATCTGTGCATGAATATGTACCTGTACATGAATCTGTATCTGATTGCAAATAAAGATATCGAGTGATTGCCATAGATAGATAGAGTAAGCACAATGTTTTATGACAAACCTACGTAATTCAGGGTATATAGACATGTATATGTGTGTATTTCCCTGTCAATGTATGTTTGAGGAAGAAATAAATTAAACATTCTACCAACATGCTGTTGGCTTCTGCTGAAGATTTGTCGATGGTGGTCTGGTGGTCTACCTTTTCGTGTGAAACAGTGCTGTTTGACCTGTGTAAAGGTGTAACGTCATTTAAAGGTGTAACGTGTAAAGGTGTAATGTCATTTAAAGGTGTAACGTGTAAAGGTGTAATGTGTAAAGGTGTAACATCATTTAAAGGTGTAACATCATTTTTCGAGATGAGTTGGCTCATCTGGAACATTCCTATCATGAAAGTTCATCTGTGTTGGTAGTTACATGTTTAGAGTTAAAACTTTTGTTCCAACACAAAAAAGATCTCTCACCTAGAGCTCTCGACCAGTCACTCTGGTCTTCTTCGGTAGACTGACCCAGTGAGGCTCGTCTACTGAGGAAGACCAGAGTGACTGGTCGAAAGCTCTAGGTGAGAGAACTTTTTGTGTTGGATCTAAAGTTTTAACTCTAAACACGGGAACATTCCTGTTGACTGTACAGGAGGGGACCATCAGAAGGGCTGGGGGTGGACAGAGGAACAGTGCTGGTCTTCCTACCAGGTAGGCAGACATGTCCTGTTGTGGTGGGTCATTGGTGTTAACCTATCATGAAAGTTCATCTATGTTAGTAGTAATCATAGTAAAATGTTAAACTTTATTCCAACACAACAGGTACACCGAGATCAATTTTTCAATGACCACTGTCACCTTCATCATTCAGGATCTCTGTGTACCCGTTGTGTTGAAATAAAGGTTAAAGTGCTCATGACACCAAAAAATGACCTTAGCTGATTGTAATTGACATAACTAGTATTACCTGGCTAACAGACACATTTACAATAAATATGCACAGTTCTCTTGTTACATCTGAAATTCTAACGCCCTACCTTGGAAAAGTCAGCACAAGCACAGACATTTTATTTTTGCATGTCTGTATTTTTTCCTGAGCTGACGTCATCCAGCAAAAATAAAACAGAGATGCAAATAGAGATGCCCGAAGTGGGCAATTGGCAAGCTTGCTAGAGAGTCTCCAAAAACCCACTTTTAGAAGGCCGTACAAGCTCAGTTTCTCAGTCATCATGATTGGAACAAATTTCAAGTGACTATATTGTATGCACACTTCCGATATTTGTATGTATTTCACAGACTTTTTTTGGTGTCATGAGCACTTTAACATTTTACAATGGTGTAAACTGTCTGTCTTCAGAGACAATGCTATAGCACAGTGGTTCAGTCTACGTCCAGGTGTTTGTTATAGCATCTGCTGTGGCTGTATTGTCCAATTTTTGGGATGCAGACTCTGTGCAGTTCCCCCACTTGGCCAAGGGATATAAAAATGGTTAAGAGTTACAAAAGGTTTTCGGTGAAGACATGTATATTTTGACCCCTGGTGCCTTACCTTTAACTACATTCTCATCCAGGTCTCGCAGAGATTAACACATTGGATGAGCTTCTTGCTCCAGAGACAACAAGATACAAGTAAGTAGGAAACTCTGATGATTTCAGGTCCATTTTTTTTTTACGAAAAGCTTCTACACTGATTCTTGGCACAGACTTAGATTGCTTTTTTAATACGATTTACTGGTAACTTGAGCTACTACATGTAGCTTTCTCTCATCTGTGCTTAATTCAAGCACACTGAAGTAGCTGTTTGGCTACCAATTCTGAATAAGTATCGAGGTTAGACAGCAGGGAGAAGGTTAACGTTTTATAATAAGCTTTTCTTTCTTCCTATTCTGTTGTATAGGCTTTGGGTTCTTCCCCTGCATTCTACGATCACGTCAGAAGAACAGGCTCAGGCCTTCGTTCCACCCAGGTCTTACCAGAGGAAGGTGAGAAAAAGTAAACTTGAAGGTCTACAGTAACTAGTCCCTTGGCCTTTTGAGGCTGTAGAGGCAGTGTTGGCCCCATCTGAACACTTCAAGTCACAAAGAAATTGATTCGATCCCAAACCACCTCTGGAAGTAGCTTCTGGCTACAGCGCATTCCGACTTCAAGTCTGAACATAATTTAGTATGCAGATCAATACTTATAAGTCAGATATAAATTGCTGACAAGTGAAAGTTACACGTATGCAATTTTTGACATTTCCCAGTTGTGGAAATGCGTGTGTTAGGTAGAACTAGAAGCTTTAAAAATGTTTTGGTCATAATTTCTCTTTTTAATGACTGTGTTCAGGTGATCCTGTCTACCAACATAGCAGAAAGCTCCATCACTGTGCCTGATATCAAGTATGGTAAGGAAATCTTCAGTGTGTATTGAAGTTTTTTCACAGCTCATACCCGTGTAACATCCCTACATTAATAGTAAGGAGCAGTAATATTAAATTATACTGCTGCAGGAATTTTTTTTCTGTTTTATTTTGTTTACATTTACAGATTGAAGTAAAACATAATGTTTTTGCTTTGTTTCTTCTTCTTCTGTTCCAAACATATAAGGTCAATCTCCTGGACCAAAAGTCTGTCACCATGGTAACTGGTGCTGCATGTGTCCTCCCTGTGGTGTTGGGTTACATATTGTAGCAAGTGGTAGGACAATCTTAGAGTAATAAAAAGAATATGTCTGAGTAAGAATAAAACTTTTTTGCTAGGCTAGACCATATGACGGTTGACATTATGCATTTGCTTTGCAGATGTTACCTTTCTAATCAGTGTTGTGTCTGTTCCTTTAGTGATTGACTTCTGCCTGACCAAGTGCATGGTGAAAGACCAAGAGACCAACTACCAGAGCCTGCAGCTGAACTGGGCATCCCAGGCCCACTGTACCCAGAGGAAAGGTAGGACTCTGCTACACAGCAGTATCAGATCTGTATACGGAGCTTCTTTATTCAACAACCAGTGGTTCACGTGCGACATTTTGGTGGCTGTCTGTCACATTCTTCAGGGTAACAATGACTGGTTTCGATTCCTGCTGCAGGCTAGGTCAGTCTCTTACCAACCCAACGAAATTATTCACACCTTATAGAGCCCTGTACATGTATACACCTTTACTGAACAGATAGGTATAGTTTGTCTAGCTTGCATGGTCTAGTGCATTGTGAAAGACCCAGAGTCTGCAGCTGAACTGGGCGTCCCAGGCCCACTGTACTCAGAGGAAAGGTAGGACTCTGCTGCTTAACAGGGGATCTCATGGATTTTCGAAGGCCTAACTGTATAAGAAGCTTCTTTAGGCCTAGGAAAAAAATGTTGTGTTTCCTGTTTCTGGCCTGAAGAAAATTAGGGTCAGTAGGTAGGGATTAGACTTTTTGTTAGACTTTTTAAAAAATTTTCTAGTGGTATACAGTATACATGTAACTTTCACAAGGACACATACATTTTTAATGTTAATGTTGGAAAACCAATTCTACAATGTTTCCTCTCTCAGGTGTCGGATCATAGAGCTAGAAAAGGTTTATCAGCTTGAAAACCCCCCAAAAACAGACTAGGGTTGGCAGTTTTTTCTAGAGTCGGTCGGGAAACAGGGAACACAACATTTTTTTCCTAGGCCTAAGAAGAGAAAAGACAAGCAAAGACTCAGCTGTTTCTCCATGTGTCTGTACCTGCCAGGTCGGGCGGGGCGTGTGTCGTCAGGCCGAGCCTACCGGATGGTCACCAGGAGGTTCTACTACGAGCACCTGCAGGAGTACGGCGACCCCGAGATGCAGGTGAGAAATTTATTCTTTAATTGAGGCCCCTGGCCAATATTTACATACATGAACAGATTAACAAGAGATTGAAACATGAAAACAAACATAACGAAAATCATGTTTGATTTTCGTTAGTAGAAATAAAACTACTTTTTAAAGACCATTTAGACATACTAGTAATGTCTCCAGATGGTGCTAAGATGGAAGCCATCGGAGTGAAAGAGCGTAACTACAATGTTTGATAGGGTTTTGCTGGAAATGAATCACTCTATCAATCAATCAATCAATTACCTGCTGGCATTTCTTACACAATATTTTCAAATAATTTGATGTCTTAACCAGGTCATAAACCCTTGACAGATTGCAGGAGAAGTACCCGCAAAACGTACATATACAGGGTGCTGTATACATTTGTTGATGGTGCTGAATAGCACGTCGGCAGAACGTACTGCACCTGCGCGAAATCCGTAATGTATTGTGCATAGCACTCAGGCAGAACGTCTCATATAAGGTTGTATTCGCTCATATAAGGTTAGCATTTCGACAGTAGTTCCCAAATGTTGTGTCAGAAAAGATATCCTCTGCAACAGTGAAAATTCTGATGCAACGTTGACCAAAGATCCAACTAAAAACGCGAAAATCCAGGGTTCTGCGCAGGCGCAGTACGTTCTACCAACGTGCTGTGCTGAATGCGCAACCCATGGGCCCCGCAGGACAAGGGTAAAAAAACAGAGTAAAGACTTCTTTCAGAAGGTAAAGAAAACCTATACTAGTAACATTGCGTTCCTTTCCCCTGCACAGCGCTGTCCCATGGAGCAGCTGGTTCTGAAGGTGAAGCTGCTTGACTTGGGAGAACCGAAGGCCATCCTGGGTCTGGCCCTGCAGCCCCCCAACCTGGACAACATCGAACTCACGGTTCTAACGCTGAAGGAGGTGAGGCCTAGAAAAATATGTTGTGTTTCTTGTAACAGTTTCAGCCCTGAAAATAATTAGGGTCGGTAGTAGAAGGCCTCCAAAGGGAGCAACAGTTTAATGATGGCACTCCCAGACCCTATGAAGCGAAAGGCAAACAAATACAGCAATTTCTGGTGCTTGGTATCAAAAGTGTCAACACATACACACAGAAAGGTTGCTGTTTACTAGTACTTCTCTGCTGAGACAATAGAATTATAAGGCCATCATGATAGACAACTCGTAACCTATGCATGGTCCCAGCTCTGGAGCTGGACCAAAGCTGAGCACAGCACATTGCATTATAGTGTGATATGAAGAGAATGCGCCTCACCTCAGGTGTACGGTGACCAAATTTTCAGATAAGTGAGTTAAGTATGTACAAAATGACTAATAAACTGGTGGATGTCCCAACAACTAAGTACCTAATACCAGCTCAGAAGAGAACAAGAAATAGCCACGCATTCAAGTACCAGAGTTATCAACCAAGGATTGAGGTGTTCAAGAATTCATTCTTTCCTAGAACTATCGCAGAGTGGAACTCACTGTCACCAAGTACAGTAGGGGCACTGTCAATAGATAACTTTAAACAATGTCTAGAGCTAGAAGTTCAAGGGTTAGGTGTAACAAGTCGATCGGTGTAATATAGCCAGCTGCCGCCGCGCCGAGTGCCTGCGAAGCTGGTGTGTTACGCCGAAAGGCGGTTATACCGGCTATACAGATACAGATACAGATACAGAAGTACTGTCACAATCCCAGTAAAAATCAAGTTAAAGAAGAGTCCTGCTGAGTGAACTTATTGGTGCATCTCTAAATCCCTCCAGGTCGGTGCCCTCTCCACTGTGACCTCCGGAGAGGTCAACCCTTACGACGGTGACCTGACCTTCATAGGTCGCGTGCTGGCCGCCCTCCCCGTGGACATCAGGGTCGGCAAACTGCTGCTGCTGGGACACGTGTTCGGCTTTCTGAGGGAGGTCCTCGTCATAGGTAAGGAAAAAATCTTAAGCTAAAAAAAAGAAAAGATAACTGCTAAAAAAAAAGAAAAGATAACATTTGCAAACAGGTCTCCAATTAGAGTAACCTATGACTGCGTGAAAATTATTGCCAGTAATGACTTTCTGCCTTCCCCCGTGTAGGTGCATCTCTCTCTCTCTGATGTTACATGTACTTACAATCAGCCTACGGGCAAATGCTTGCAATAAACTTTCAATCAAACAGACTTGATATGACTCTTATCCAATTCTACATGAATGTGTACTAAAGTCTTTCAGTTTGGCCCTTAGTTTCAAGCATGCAAGTAGGTCTATATGTATCCTATTACTGTCAGGGCTGGAAATTAAAGGTGGTCCACAATGGCCATTGACCACTAAAATTTAGGCTGGGACAACTAAAAAGATACTTTGGGACATTTTGGGGACAATAGAAAAATACATGTAATCAGAATGTCAGCCCTTCTTTTGTTTATCAGGCACATGTCCTGGCTTTGGATCTGGAAAAGACCCCCCGAGTTTCCTGTCTGCAATTATAGTGTAACTGGGAGTGAATGTAAGCAAAATAAAGTTGACTTCAAGTTGAAGTCATACAATACTTCACAAAAAAACAGCCTGGGACAGTTCATCCTCACTTTGGAACAATTGAACTTTATTTTTGGGACAGTACTGGGACAATAGAAAGAAAAGTTAATTTCGAGGCCTGTACTGTGCGAAGTAGAGTTATCACAGACATTGCCAGTAAAGACTGTTCCTCCCCTCTCCCCCCTGTAGGTGCATCTCTCTCCCTGAAGAGCTTCTTTGCGAAGCCCTTCAGGGGGGACCTGGCCTCGTACAGGTAAGTCTTCTGCTGAATCATTTTTCTCAGAGAAGTTTGATTTTACATTTTAGTAAGTCTAATTTGAAATGGGAAAAGATGTTCTAGAGTGGACTGTGCTTTTCAGAAATGACTAACATTTCTGGACTTTTACAGGCAATTTTTCGGATGAATCAGTTGTTCTCAGAGCTTCTTGATACTTAGTAGAAGATCTAGTTTGAAATGGAAGAACATGTAGACTGTGCTTTTCAGAAATGTCAAATGTTTCTGGTCTTGTAGTTGTACAGTTGAGTATTCAGCTGAATTCTCGTCAGAGCATTTTGATACATGAAATTAGAGGAAGATCTAAAAAATGGAAAAAGATGGAGACTGAGAAAGTCAGCAGAATGTACCGCACCTGCGCAAAACCCAGATTTTTGTCAAAGTCTTTGTCTGATGTTTGGTCAATGTTGTACTAGAATTTTGCCCATAGCAGGTGACGCAATGTTTGAAAACTATCGACAGAATGTCATCCTTTGAATACGAATACGTTATACGAGACGAATACAACCTTTTAAAAATGAGTCCTTCTGCCGAAGTGCTATACACGATGCATTACAGGTTCTGCACAGGCGCAGTACGTTCTACTGACATGCTTGTAGACTGTGCTTTGCTGAAATGACCGATCGACCCCTCTCCACCAACATCCTTCTCAACGGTTATCCAGGTCACAACCCTCTTACAGATCAAAACCTTTCGGCTGCTCTTCATACTTACATTTCATCAACAAACCGATTCTAATTACATAACTCTTAGTCCTTCCATCTATTCCAGACCTACAACATTGTAAATATTGAATATTATATATTTGAATGACCTCTGGCCTCCTACCATATTGATTTATATTATTACTTTTTTGTATATACTGTCATTAGCCTAGGTTATGGATTGTAGGGTATGAGAAATTTCTGTGATTCGTTACTTTATTGTGTTATGTATGTATGTATTTCACAATGTGGGGCCCGACATCAGCTCAGCTGCCAGGGCTTCCACTGTATTACACTGTATTGTTTGCAATTTAAATAAATAAAAAATAAAATAAATGACCGATGTTTCTGTGATTTGTGTAGATCGAAGATGGCCTGGTCTGAGGATTCCTTCAGTGACTGCCTTGCCATGTTATATGCCTACAGGGTAAGACAGTACAGTATGTCATACAGTATGTGTATTTGCAATTTTAGAGAGGATGTAGAGCTGAATTTGCAGGAAATGACTTCCATTTGTCTCTGGGAAAGACAAAATGCAAGGGAGGGGGAAGCTGCATCAGGTGCTTTGCACTCTGACCCACCCAGCTCTAAATTTCTGTGGAGATCCCTTAAAACCCAGCTTCAGTGTATTCGTGCTAAGTCTTGCAAATCACGACAATATTTTTTGGTGGTTCGCCTAGATTTTAGCCTGTGCTCCTAACTTTTTAGGGTTAGGAGCACAGTACTCCTAGGTCAAAAAATTAATTTTGAGCCCTGATCGTGATCCCTACTGGTAAATTAATTCTACCAGATACGAGTCTATGCTTTGACAGTCATGTTATCTTTGACTGCACTTTTGGTTTTATTGAAATCCCTGTTGTTCATTGTCAGACTTATCATGTATGTAGTATTGTTAGAAAAACTAAGTAATGCAAGAAGTATAAAAACAGATCTTTTAATTTCTTGTCTTCATTTTCCAGGGATGGCAGGAGGTCAGTCAGTCAGGACAATGTACGAGCAGACAGGTGAGTTCACACATTACAGAATCAGCTGTCATCAAAGAGCATGTCGGCAGATTTTTTATTTTTTTTTATTTATTAATCTTGAGGGTCGCCCCTTCAGTTGATAAACAACTGATTTCCAAGGGGGCCCTGGCTCCACATCCAACAGATGAATCAACAAAACGTTACAATTGTACAACATAAAACACAAAATCGAACATAGGAGTAATACTTAATCTTAACAATTCAAAATACGTTGAACAATATCAACTCAAAATTAGAATTACAGAGCCTGTCACATACGTAAATCAAATAAATAGAACAAAACAAACAACAAAATCAATCCGTTTGCAAAATAAAATACTAGCTATACATGTAGGTCATGTTTTGGTCAGACCTATACATTGTTTTGGTCAGAGGTCAGATTTTAAGGCTTGTTTGAATGAATTCAGAGTGGTTTCTAATTTTGTCGCTGGTTTAAGGGAATTATAGATGGAAACCAATGGCAGATTGTACTCAACCTGCGTGAAACCCAGATTTTTCACTGTTTTTATTGGAAGTTTGATGTTTAACTTGTAAATGGTGCAGTCATTTTATTCAAATGAAATATTACAAGGTATTGACGTTCATATTTGGTCCTTTCACATTCGATGGGATATTACAAATATGACTTATCTGATGTTATGAAGTTATTTATTTATTTTATTTATTGTTTATTTTAGGCTCAATGGCCCATAGCACAGACAGACAACATTACACAAACACATCTAAAATAAAACATCTAAGTGGGTATAAGTAGATAAAAGACTGTCGAGCCCTTACGGTGGGCGGACCTGTCTACAGTAGTGGCTCCAGAATGGGCTAGAGCAGAAGGTCTCCGAGCGGAGCAGCAGTTTGACAATTGCGTTCTCAGACGCTAAGAGACGCGAAGCAAAAGAGCACAACAACTTCCGACGCCTGGCGTCAAACGTGTCGACACGAGTCTGTACAAATAGGTCGCTGTTACTAGTACTCCTAGGCTGAGACAGTAGGATTGTAGTTTGAAGACAGTTACTGTATTTTTTGTCTGATTTCTTACTTCTCTCCACAGCAAGAGGTGGCGTGGGCTAGGAAGAACATGATTCAGCTCAAGAGAATCAAGGAGGTCAGAAAATAGCTATGCTTAACTTCTTTGCCAATTGGTGTATTATTTTTAGCAGTTGATTTCTGTGGGTCTCAGGACTGGAAATACCACCTGCATATGTTGATTTGATTATAATTATGGATGACATCCACGCGCGCATGAATTTTCGGCCATTTCCAAAAAAAAAAAAGTTTTCAACCATACTGTAAATCGTGCAAAACAGTTGCTAAATGAGCAAAAATATACCATAAGTTGCAAGGAAAACATTTAGAAACGATACCAATGTCGTAGAATGCCAAAATCAAAGGAAAAAAGACAAAAATGTAAAGAAATGAATTCGAAGAGTAGATTATTCGCCATAACATATTCTGTGCCATTTGTTCAACCTTCATGATCATGACCACGTAGATTTCATAGTGAAAGCAACTTTTTTTTTTTTGTCAAAACTTTTTTTATTCGCACGCGCGCATCAGTTTTGGGGTTCCCAGAGGATGTCATCCATATAATCAAATCAACATGGCCTAATGTACATTTTGAAGCAGGTGCTTGATGTGATTAAGCATTCATGTTTTGTACATGTATCTGTAGATGTCAGTAGTTGTGCAATGGTTAGAGCGTATGATGGAGTGACACTGTCAGATTTGGTGTCGGATTTTGCCAACTTCTGCACGTTTGCCGCCAAGAGCCATAAAATTTTTTACACTTTTTTGTCTGCAGATGTCAGCAGTCGCCAAGGAGCTTCAGGATCGCCTGGCCAACTTCAACATCCGCGTGTCGCGGGACAGAAACCCTCACCAGAACTACCGAGACCCCGAACAGAAGAGAGAAGAGGACGAGCTGATACTCAAGGTGGGAAGGCAGCTACTGTGAATATCATGAATGTTCATCTGTGTTGGTAGTTACATGTTTAGAGTTAAAACTTTGGTCCAACACAACAAAATTCTCTCACCTAGAGCTTTCGACCAGTCACTCTGGTCTTCCTCAGTAGACTGACCCAGTGAAGCTTGTCACGTTGAGAGGGGTGAAGGACATCAGGGCCCATCACCCTTCATTGAACCACGACGGGGGCCGACATCATCTACCAGATACCTTTGACCCAGTGTTGACGTCACACTTCAAAGAAGCCACATGACAAGCTTCACTGGGTCAGTCTACTTAGGAAGACCAGAGTGACTGGTCGAAAGCTCTAGGTGAGAGAATTTTGTTATATTGGATCTAATTAAAAGTTTTAACTCTAAACAGCTAGTGTGAATGTTTGTACCTCAGAGTCTTCAAACTTTTGTTTTTAGAGTTTCTCAGAGAGTTCCAGGATTTGAGAATAGAAGACCACTCAGGAGACCAATGAAATCTCTTTTATGTGAACAGGTGGTTGCTATGGACAGGATTCGTAATGCTTGTGTCAATGGGAAAATTATTTAAGAGACCACCAAGAGTGGTCATTTCTTTGATGCCCCAGGACCCACCCATCTACCAAATTTGAGATATTGTGCTAAACAGCAAACGCTGTTACACTGTTGCAAATGCTACCAGAAACATAACCTTTTTGGTGAAGATAAAAAAAATAAAGTTCCTCTGTCCTCAGATGATCCTTGCCGGAGAGGTCTAGCCAAACTACTTCAGACTCTGTTATAATATGGCCCCATTCCCACTAGGATAAAACTCCACTTTAGAATTAGACTAAGTGATATATTTCCTGATCTCAGTCTTTGTCAATCAATCAATCATCCACGATCATCACGTTCTGATGCATGGCAGCCACAGTCATGCACAGGACCCACCAGGTGGTCCTGTTTCCAGCACAGACCCTCCAGTCGTCTCTGACACCCAGCTCCCGAAGTGTGGGGATGAGCTGGTCTTCCCATTTTGCCCTTGGGGGACCCCAGTCTTTGTCAGTAAATGAAAAGTTCCTGTGTCCCCAGATGATCCTGGCCGGAGCGTTCTACCCAAACTACTTCACCTGTGACGCGTCGGACGAAGCGGAGGCCGTGAGAGACTTGTCAGGCAGCAACCCGCTCACGACTGTCATGGTGAGCAGACACATGAACACACTCGCAGAAACATGAACAGGAACTATCCTACTGCCTGACATCACTCAGATGTCAGATCATGGAGCTAGAAATGGTCTGTCAGCTCGAAAATTTATGTAACTTGCAGGGGTCCACACATAAAAAGGCTAGGGTCGGCATTTTTTTCTAGGGTTGGTCGGGAAACAGGGAACACAACATTTTTTCCCTAGGCCCAGCAGAAACATAACGAGAACTTCCAACCCGCTCACGACTGTCATGGTGAGCCCATACACAGTTCTTGTCATAGGATACAGTAGTTCTTATCACACTATTACACTAGTTCGTATTTATTTTGTGAGATCTTGGTTCATTATGTACAGACTTGTTTATTTGCATTTATGATCTATGAGTTCACTTTGTTCACCATTATTGTATATAGCCTACCTTTATTTGTGTTCATATTTTGTTTGGATGCTGTTATCTGTACCTTTGATTCTCTTAGCATGTGTGACTTAAACACACCTGTCTGTCTAACCCCCTGTAGTTGCGCGGCATGCCTCCTGCCCCCTTCTTGTACCTGAGACAGTTGAAGGTCTTGATGGACCCTTGTGGGAAAGGGAAGTTTATCAAGCTCGAGGATACAAGGTCAGCTATGTGTAACCAATGATGTTTTAATAATACCGTTTGATAGCATGTTGGGGTATAGAAGTATTTTTTTACCTCCACGGATTTTTGTTTGACCACACCAGGGCTTTATACCAGCTCGAAATTTTTTACCGTACTGTCAACGCGAAAAAAAAATTCCGTCAATGATTACTTAATTCCGTCAGGTTTCCCACGTGGGCCCGCGCACTTGGAAAAGACGCCGCGTCGTGGCTCATTAAAATTCGCTAGATTTTTTCTATGTCTTTACCCACGATATTTGACCGTCAATGTTGACGATGAGGACTTAAATTTTTACCGTCCTATGGGACAAAATACCATCAATTGACGGTAAAACGGTCGCTGGCTAAAGCCCTGGACCACACGCACCCTTGTGTACTGTATGTACGAAATACGTAACTTCTCCACAGATCTGAGACATACTCTTGAAATAAACTTGAAACTTCTTTCTTCCTCCTGTGCAGAGCGTATGTGGAGTTTGAACCTGAAGTGGCACGGTGGGACGGCACAAGTGTGCTACCTGCGGTCTACACGGCCGTGAAGATGAGGTACACCTGTCCTCCATTTCATTTCTTTTGGTCCCGTACCTTACCTTAAGCTCCTGTCGCACATAGCTGAATGTGGCCTCCTGAACACTGCCAAACTTCCCCTAACCATGGCTAGGAGTAGGTCGGAAGCAAAGTTGACATTTTCACTTGAGTTAAGTGAGGAAAGTCATGTAAAGTGCCTTTCCCAAGGGCACAAAATCAGTTGCATGTCAGGACTCAAACCCGGGACCTCTTGGTCCCGAGTTGAGCACGCTGCCGTTACGGCACACGACCCCACATGGAAAATAACCTTACCTGTGAGGCCACAGCAAGTAAATTTTATGGATGGCATCCTTTGCGGATTCCAAATCTAATGCGAGCGGGCGAAAAAAAAAACAAGGCGGGCTGAAAAAAACAAGGTCCCTACAATTAAAAATTTTGACTCAATCATTGTTCAAATGGGTTTTGATTCAGTAGGAACATCACATATGCACAGCCAGCATCACATATCACTGCATCATAGTAAGAAACAAAACATTAAATCAGAGCCTTTTCTCCTCGATCTTGTGTCCTCTCTTCATAGTTATCTACCATCCACCTTCTGGCATGGTAACAGACATCTTTGCCCATTTTCGGCATGTTGACCACTGTCAAAAGGCAACAAAATTCCTTGTTTTTTTTCCAAAATCAGGCGAAAATTAATGCGCGCGTAGATGTCATCCATAAAAATTATTTTCTGTGGCCTGACGGTTGATTGACAGGTCTCTGAGGACCCACCCCCTGGAGCTGAGGCTGCGACCCCGCGAGGAGGTCCAGAAAGCCCTGATGCAGCAGGCCAACGCCAGCTTCAGCAGCAACAGCAAGAAACTCAGGACTAACAGGTAGTCTGTTTGTTTGTTTATTAGACCGATCTCCATTAGTTTGTACAGTTGCCATACATACTATTCTTCCTGGAGTCGTAACTACAAACTACTATCATAACAACATGGTAAGGCTTAACTACAAACTACATAACCACACACAACATGCAAGTAGTACCGAGAGGTCAGAGGTCATAACATAAAATTTAGACAAAGATTCATATTTACATTTCTACAATTCTACTACCACTCATCACAGTCAGACTTTATCACATGTCATGCATAGTTTTTTTGGTATATTCAGGTCCCTGGTTATCCAGAGTTACTTTTACAGTAGGAACTGACAATACAGTGACCACTAAAATGACACTTTAGCTAAACAGCAAGAAGCTCAGGACTAACAGGTATCACTGAGTATTAAATCACTGATTCATCAGTAGCCCTTGCCTGTGTTTTTTGTTCATTCTGGTTCCTGGGGGAGTTATCCAAGGCAGAACCCAATATTGAGTCACTTTTACAGTGGCTATTGAAATAACTTGTGTCATTATGAAGCCAGACCATGTGTATTTTGTCAAATTTTGGTTCTGGAACCCTCTTGGCTAAACAGTGTATTAAGATCAGAAGTAGTGACCAGTCTTGATTATACTGCTGCGGGGATCGCTGACTAAGGGTTGGGCAGCAGTCCTTCACACCATGTTTCTAGGCCCTGGAAGAAATCCAGGCAGCTCTGCAAGGCTAAACATTTTGGTGTTCTTCTGGATACACTCATTCCAAGACATGCCCGTAGCCAGGAATTTGAATGGGGGGGTTCTTCCCACTGCCCACTGCACTTCCCGGCTCCTAGGGGGGTCTGGGGGCATGCTCCCCCGGAAAATTTTGATTTTGACTTTAGGTTTAGGATTATGGGAACCCAGAGAATCTTAAACTCTCTACATGTTGTCTCCCCAGACTGTATGGAGAGTTGGGTGAAGGGGGACAGCCTTCAGTGAAGGTGGAACAGACAAAGGGACCAAAAGCAGTGGAACCCCCCTCTCCCAAAGAACCGTGGATGCAACTGTTCGTCACTGAGGTAGGTGTAATGCAGATGTAGAGAATAGAATGACGGTTTCAGATTGTTTGGAATATTCACTACGTAATGGGAACAGCTGATCTTTCTATATGGTACAATGTATTGAACAAAGTGCCTCCTAGAGCCTAGTGTCTGAGGGAGTGTTGGTCAGTATGTTGGTGAGCAAACGTTACAAATTGAATGATATAACAGCCTGGTATCTTATTACATCTACAAAGGCCAATGTATACTAGTTTGTGTGGCATGACGGCAGAACGCACTGCACCTGCACAAAACCCATACTAGTAATGTGTTGTGCATAACACTTCAGCAGAACATTAATTTGTTTAAGGTCCGTTTCAGGATGTCTATAGTTTTCAAAGGTTGTGTCGGAAAAGATGTCTTCTCCAATGGTTAGAATTCAACTTTGACCAAAAAAATACCTGTGAAAAATCTGGGTTTCACACAGGCGTAGTACATTCTGCCGTCATCCTGTGTATAATATGTACATATAGTATAATGCCAGCTACATGTATCTTTAATCTGCCATCCCTCTGCAGGTATCTGTATCGGTATAGGGCGCGGCGGCAGCTAGCTATATCACACCGAACAGCTTGTTACACTCAATCTTTGCACATTTGATTGCAGGAGTTGTTTAAAGCTTTCTATAGCTAGTGATGACGCCCCAACTGTGCTTGGTGGCAACGAGTTCCAGTCTATGATAGTTCTGGGGAAATACGAGTTTTTGAATACCTCAATTCTTGGTTGATAACTCTGATATTTGAAGGCATGACTGTTTCTTATTCTTTTCTGGGCTGGTATCAGGTGGTTGAATGCGGGCACTTCTGGGCTCACCGTGCGGAGGCAGAGTACTTTGACCAGCTGGCCCTACTCATGGAGACTATAAATCAGGATTTAGGGGCCAGTCTACAGGTAAGTCAAATTCAAATTCAGCTTTATTCATATTGGCATGACATGTTAAAAGTTCAGAGCCAATATTTGACAACGTTTGAAATACACAGAACAGATCGATAAAAACTACATTAAAATGCGATTAAAAACACTTTACACTGACAATATATATATTATGTCCTCAAAGAACAAGTATATATGCGTAATTTACATATCGCTGGGAATCAGTAAGTTGTAACATGGAGTTGTTGTAAGAATCAGTTGCCAGAGTGGTAATACAGTTTCAGTGCTCTGGGGATAAATGACAGTTCATGTCTTTTGGTTCTGCTCTTGGTTGCTCGGAAGCAGCCCTCTCACCGTAGACTGTAGCGGTTGACACACGGCAGGATCAGAAACTCATTCAGGGGAGAACTGCTGTCCTGAAGAATGTTCTGTAATGTTCTCAGTGTGGCTGTGTCACGCCTGCTGGACAGCTTTGTATCCGAGTTTATTGGAGTTCAACCTTTCCTTAAGCTGTCTACCTTTGAATAGGTTACAGCTAGTCTTTCAGGAGAGGACACAAGTGCTGCATAAAAGTCTAGTACAGCTAATTCTTACAGCTAAGTTAGTCATTAGTCAATGTAATTTGTTTTATTCCCTGTGGCTGTAACCCTTTCACCTGTTCGTGTATTCTTCCATGTTTGCACTCATTCATTGCTTCATTCATTCATTCATTCATTCATTGCTTCACTCATTGATTGATTGATTGATTGATTGATTCATTCTAGTTTTGCAGGACTTCCCTTAGATGAGAGGATTTTTCTTGAGAAGATTGATCTATGGGGCCCACAAGCCCTTTTCCATAGAGCGTAATCGGCCATTTTAATTCTACGTAGAGCATAGACAACGGACCGCTCTAATGTAACGTAGAGCGTAATTGGCGTATTTTCCGTAGAGCGCATTTGCCGTTTTAATTCTACGTAATGCGTTGTAGCCACTTGGAATTTATTGTTAAGCGTAATCGAGAGGTTTCTGAATTCAGCGTAGAGCGTTGTCAGGACCCCCCCCCCCCAGACCCTCATCTATTTATTAATAAGATGCAAGATTTCCCAAAAATGTGGATAGGCCCTTGAGATTTGGACTCCCCCCATATGTTGGGGATAGCTGCTGGCTGTCCATGTTATTCTGATTGCAGAGACATGTGGTGTCATTTTTCTCCTGCATTCCTGCTTCGGTCGGAATGTCTGCATGTCAGAAACAATTCTTGTCAAGTCAATCACCAAAAGGAAGGCTCATGCACTCCAAAAAATTTACGATGCGGAAGATTTTTGGAACTCTTTTTGAAGATGTTTGGAACATGCCTCAGTCGGAATGTCTATCTGTATGTCAGAAATAATTCTTCGCAAGTCCCCCACCAAAGGAAGGCTCATGTACTCATAGAAATTTACGATTTGGAAGATTTTTGGAACCATTTTTAAAGTTTTTTTTAGGACCAGCCTTGGTTGAAATGTCTGCATGTCAGAGACAATTCTTCTGAAGTCACTCACCAAAGAAAGGCTTATGCACTCCCAGAAATTTACGACTTGGAAGATTTTTGGAACTACAAGTTCACAACACTCTACTAGTTAAGTTTACCTGTTCCTGATGTCAAAAGCTCTGATGATGTTGTGTGATGTTACCTGTTTTTTGGGAACCTGTTTTTCTCCCAGTTAGCTGGTCCATGCCATTGTACTATAGAGTGTACAGGTACTGATTTTGATGTTAGGCCACACCAAGTAAATTTTATGGATGACGTCCTTTGGAGACCCTAAATCTAATGCGAGAGGGCGAAAAAAAAACAAGAAGGGCCCTAAAAAACAAGATGCCTAGATTAGAAATATACTAAGAGACGACAAATGTTAGGACACAAATTGAATGAGGTGACACAGTGTAACAAGCAAGAAGTACATTTGTATTTTATTCATCTTCAAAACAGCAATAAATCAGGTGGAACAGTGGACAGTGAAAAATTTTCTGTTTCTGTTATTGACAGCATGGTCCTGTCAATAGACACTTTGTTCGCGTTACGGGTTTCACATCAATCTGGTGATTTGCGGCACTGTCGTGACTCTTTGGTCATAGTTACAGGAAGCGGAATTTCTTGTTTTTTTTTCTAGGAACAGGCCAAAATCAATGCGCGCGCGGACGTCATCCATAAAATTTACTTGGTGTGGCCTTAGTGACAACTCCATCTAAGGGTGCAGTCGAAATCCTCCTAGGTTTGATTTGATGTCGTAGCATTTTCAAACAGACTGAAACCGCTGAAAATTATGTAAGGCTGCCAAGCTGTACCAAGACAGCTGAAATTTTTACACAACACGTGCATGACTTTTCCAAAAATACTCTGTTTACAATTGTACAGCAAAAATGCCCTCATTTGTGATTGTACGACAAAAATGACAATCATATGATGAATGTTAAATGTACTGAGCCCTTAGTTAGAATTATGCCATACTGTAACTCACCCCTTGTTCAGATGTACCTGTTGCTTGTCACTCTTGCTCACAGCCCTTGCCAGCCCGCATGGTACTTCGTGGGTGGGTGGGTGGCTGGTAGTGAGTGAGTGAGTGAGTGAGTGAGTGAGTGAGTGAGTGAGTGAGTGAGTGAGTGAGTGAGTGAGTGAGTGAGTGAGTGAGTGAGTGAGTGAGTGAGAGTACATTTTGTTTTTCCTCTTGCTCACAGCCGTTGCCAGCCCACATGATTCTCCGTGACCAGTACTGTCTAGCGCCCTACCAGGATGAGGCCAGTGTCAAGTACTACCGAGCAAGGATTGTGGCAGCATTTCCTGACCATGTGAAGGTAATGTAACTGTACAAATCTGTCTCATCAGATATCGTTTTATCAGGGCAGATATATGTAATGTCATCTACACTTAGGCCATGTTGATTTGATTATATGGATGACATCCGCGCGCATGAATTTTCGGCCGTTTCAAAAAAAAAAAGTTTTCAACCATACTGTAAATCGTACAAAACAGTTATAAATATACCATAAGTTACAAAAAAAATTAATAAAACTATACCAATGTCGTAGAATGCCAAAATCAAACGAAAAAAGACGAAATTGTAAAGAAATGAACTTGAAGACTAGATTATTCGCCAAACCATATTCTGCGCCATTTGCTCAACTCTCATGACCACGTAGATTTCATAATGAAAACTAACTTTTTTTTTGCAAAACTTTTTTTTTATTCGCACGTGCGCATCAATTTTGGGGTTCCCGGAGGATGTCATCCATATAATCAAATCAACATGGCCTTATAGAATAACAATGAGAACATAGAAGGAAATTGAGAATAGAGTACGGATTGCGGCAGCCTTTCCTGACCGCACAAAGGTACACTGTATGTGAAGTGTCTTCAAATATCAGGGTTGATATACATGTACATGTCTTCTCATCTGTAAAATAAAATAACAGTGAGAATAGACTACCTACCGGGTACCTAATGAAGAAAGTCAGTTTTTTTTATATCAATAAAAGCAATAAGATATCTCAAGTACAGATTTGTGACAGCCTTTCCCAGTCATGTGAAAACAAGGCAGCAACATGTATGTTAAGGGTCTTCAAATATTGTTGCATCAGAGCTGATACGCAATCTTGTGATCTGCACTATAGAATAGCAGTTCTACGAGCCTACAAAGTAAAGAACTCAGGTTTTACCAATTTGAAAGTAATTGTGTTGTATTTGCAGGTGTTTTACCTAGACTATGGGAACATGGAGACGGTGCTGAAGTCTTGTCTGTGTGAGATTCCACCTGAGCTGCTCGAGATTCCATTCCAAGTGGGGTTTTTTGTTTGTTTGTTTGTAATTGCGGTATTAAGGAAAGAGTTTTCTGTCTACTATTCCTTGCTTTTTGAACTGTGATACCTCTTGACTGTCTCTTGATTATTCCTGACTGTCCTGCTAGTGGCCACTGTGTCTAGTTATTTAGCGCAAAACCCAAATATTTGACGGTTTTCGTTGGATTTCTGGTCAAGGTTGCATCAGACTTTTGCCTGTTGCAGACGATATATTTTCCTGCATAACTTTTGGAAACTACAGACAGAGTATTTTGACCTTATATACGCGGATACGGCCTTATATGAGACGTTCTGCTGAAGTGCTATGCACAATACATTATGGGGTTCGTGCAGGCACAGTACATTCTGCAGATGTGCTGATATAGGGCACTAACAGTCCTTGTCTTTCCTCCCTGCCCAGTCCATGGAGTGCTACCTGAAGGGGATTCGCCCGTCCTTCGCGCGCTCGCCAGAAGGAAAGTGGGACCGTCAGGCGACGCTGCGCTTCCACGAGCTGGTCGCTGACAAGATCCTGCTGGGCAAGGTGTTTTTTTTTTAACTTCCGTGTTTGTATCACGGCACTTTATTCTATTTCATGTAATTCACCTGTTAAATTAAACCCCTTAGGAAACATTCATAACTGAACAGTGTGCATGTAGCAATATTTAATGTTTCCCATGTATATTCCATACTTATATTGACGGATCTTATATTTAGCAAGTAGTATTGATTAATTGAATCGATGTAAATAAAGGATTCATGTTGTGAAGCTTATAACTTAATAATATCATTACATTATGTATGGCTAAAGATAACCTTCTTCCATACCTACATGTAGTACACTATCATTTTTACAGTTCTGACCAGAACGGTTTGACGGTATTGCATTCATACAAGAAGTGTTCCACATAATTAACAACATTACATGACTGACATGTATCATTGTTTGAAAGACCTAGTTTATATAGCTTAACTTAACTCTTATGAAATGGAGACTCAACTTTCTCTGCCAACACTAATAATGAATTGGGACTTACCCCAATTTATTGGGATACGTCCCAAGACTTCCAATGCATTGCAGAGATTGTTGATTCTTTATTTCATAATGACTTGTTCCAACACAGATGAACTTTCATGCTAATAAGCTTAAGTCTTGTAGGTGTTCTCGGTGGTTCGCGGTGCGCTGAGGCTGGACCTGTACCGAACGACCAAACACGACGAGATCTTCATCAACAACCAGCTGGTGCAGGAGCACCTGGCTGACCAGTGTGAGGAGTCCTATGCCTCCAGGGTACTGAACCTTGCTCTTTTGCAACACACATTCTTGTATAATGTTTCATGGAGACAACATCTAACAAACAAACAACTCTATGGCTCTCTCCCGCCCATTTCATCTGTAGTCCGACGACGTAGACTTGCCCTGGCAGGGCATGTTGTTCGTAGTAACAACCAGCTGGTAGACTAGTACAGTGGCTTCCTACTGGGAGACGTAGAGTGGGACGTGACAGAGATCATTGAATAAAAACATCTCAGTGCAGAACTGAAAGCTTCTGATCAACTATGGACCTTCTCTCTATATATAGTGATCATCTGTCCATAGTGGTCAAACTTGCTCAGTCCCTTGAGTAACCCACTATAGACAGGTTCGACTCTACCATATTCATATATTTTTTCCCCATATTCACCCATAGAAAAGTCAGGAAGAAAAGTCCCAGTACCATATATATATATATATACAGACCAGAGTCCTCAGGAGTCAGACTTTGGTTTGCTCGCTCTTGTACGTGTACATATATTATATATATATATATATATATATACATGTACACCCCACTGTCCCTTCAGCTTCAATCTTTATACTGTATGTAGTGATGCATACCTAAACCCACATTTAGGTTCAGGTCCGGATTCAAGTCCAGAGGTTTAGGTTCAGTTCCAGACTTGTAAGTCCGGACCTAAACCCGTGGCATATACAAAATTGCATGTTGGCAACCTTGCAATGTTGTCTGGGTGTAAACTTTGGCCACATGACATGGAGGCTGGCACTTGACTATGCCCGATGGCAATGTTTTCTTCATTTTGCAGCAAAGATTTTGCAATCTACGAAAGGCTTTAGGTGGTTTGGAAAAAAAAAGGGATATGTGAAATGGTCTTTTATGGTAATAAGTCCGGACTCGGTTCTTGACTTTTAGGTTTTTTTTAACTTGAACCTTAAAATTCTTACAAGTCCGGATCCAAGTCCAGTGAACCGATATGCACCACTAACTGTATGTTGGCCAGTAACCTCCCATCTTTGCCCATAGAAAAGTCACGAGGAGCGAGCTGACCAGAGCCTGTCGCCCGAGGACTCGTCCCACCTGTGGGCGCCGGCCGACAGCGGCGTCGAGAACGACGGTCCCGAGGACAACTTTTCGCTGAGGGGCAGGAACACGGTCCGCCTGCACGGCCCCTACAGCCCCTACGAGATGGTGTTCCACAGCATGATCAACATTGGAAGGCTCAGGTAGGCTGTCAGGGAGCTCTTTTGCATCCCTGTCCTTGTTTTGCAGAAGAAAAACACATTGTTTTGCTCCCGAGGACAACGTCTTGCTGAGGGGCAGAAACATGGTCTTCCTCCACGGCCCCTACAGCCCCCACGAGATGGTGTTCCACAGCATGATCTACATCGGACGCCTCAGGTAGGCTGTCAGGGAGCTCTTTTGCATCCCTGTCCTTGTTTTGCAGAAGAAAAACACATTGTTTTGCTCCTGAGGACAACTTTTCGCTGAGGGGCAGGAACACGGTCCGACTACACGGCCCCTACAGCCCCTACGAGATGGTGTTTGACAGCATGATCAACATTGGAAGGCTCAGGTAGGCTGATTTTGTGTTTACCTTCGCAGAAGAAAAACATGGTTTTTGCTCCGAGTCAGTTTCTTCTTCCTCTTTATATTCTCAAGACAAATAGGGTCAATGATCTGGACCAGATGTCTGTCACCATGGTAACCGATGCTGTAGCAGGACAGCTATAAACATAGTTTTCCAAACAACAAAATATTTGTTCCTTATTGTTCTTACACATCTTCTTTGACTTTGGAAGACTTGGTGGTGCAAGCATCTTTGATGATCTCCCAAGTTCCCAACTGCTTGGTGGCAACGAGTTCCACACTACGATAGTTCTTGAGCACCTTGGTGATCTCAGTTTGTTGCATCTTTTGTTTTCCTATTATTTTCCAGATCCGTGCGTATTGAGCGTGACAGTGTGAACTTTGAACAACCGTCCCCTTCCTCTGCCTTCCATACCGTGCCACAGTGGATTAACAACTCACTGCCTGTACAGCCTGTGAAAGGGATTACCTTTACCTAACGTCCCTAACATTTTCTGTAATGTCTTTTCTTCCCTAACATGTCTAGATCCGTGCGTATCGAGCGTGACAGCGTGAACTCTGAACAACCGTCCTCTGCCTTCCATACCATGCCACAGTGGATTAACAACTCACTGCCTGTACAGCCTGTGAGAAGCTATGGGATTACCTAACGTCCCTAACATTTTCTGTAATGTCTTTTCTTCCCGAACATGTCTTAGACTAGATCCGTGCCTATCGAGGGTGACAGCGTGAACTCTGAACAACCGTCCCCTTCCTCTGCCTTCCATACCGTGCCACAGTGGATTAACAACTCACTGCCTGTACAGCCTGTGAAAGGCTATGGGATTACCTAACGTCCCTAACATTTTCTGTAATGTCTTTTCTTCCCTAACATGTCTAGATCCGTGCGTATCGAGCGGGACAGCGTGAACTCGGTGGCGCTGAATGCTCGGCCGCAGGACACGCACCAGCGGATGCTCGTGGCAGGGCACGTCGGCGTGAACCCGACAGGCAGCACCATCACGGCCAGGGACACCACCCTCATGCCCAACATGCCAGGCCTGGCTGCCCTCGTCTGTCTCATGTTCACTCCTGTAGCAGAACTCAGGTGAGACTACTATCATGAAAGTTAATCTGTGTTGGTAGGTAAAAACTTTGATCCAGCACAAAGAAGCTCTCTCACCATGGCTTTTTTGAAGTGTGACTTCTACTGAGGAAAAACAGTGACTGGTCGAAAGCTCTAGGTGAGAGAACTTCTTTGTGTTGGATCTAAAGTTTTAACTTTAAACATCAGGTAAGATGACTTAAATAGGTTTATTGACCTGCCCTGAGGTGTATACGGTGTCATAAGGCTGTTTCCTATAACCACCGGATAAACCACGGCCAGGGACACCACCCTCATGCCCAACATGCCGGGCCTGGCCGCACTCGTCTGTCTCATGTTCACTCCTGTCGCGGAACTCAGGTGAGATTAATATCATGAAAGTTAATCTGTGTTGGTAGGTAAAAACTTCGATCTAGCACAAAGAAGTTCTCTCACCATGGCTTTTTTGAAGTGTGACTTCTACTGAGGAAAAACAGTGACTGGTCGAAAGCTCTAGGTGAGAGAACTTCTTTGTGTTGGATCTAAAGTTTTAACTTTAAACATCAGGTAAGATGACTTAAATAATATATAGGTTTATTGACCTGCCCTGAGGTGTATACGGTGTCGTAAGGCTGTTTCCTATAACCACCGGATAAACCACGGCCAGGGACACCACCCTTATGCCCAACATGCCGGGCCTGGCTGCACTTGTCTGTCTCATGTTCACTCCTTTGGCAGAACTCAGGTGAGATTAATATATAAGTTTATATTTGATAAGTTTAATGACCCACCCTGAGGTGTATACGATGTCAAAAGGCCTGGTTGTTTCCCTTAACCACCGAATAAATTCTAGAATCAAACAGCTTCTTAGAAATGAAACAAAACAACAGCACCTCCATATAATGGTTGGTTTGGAAAAAATTGACCAATGGAAACATTGCAAAAAGTGGTGAATATAGAGAAATAATGACCACAGCAAATGGGCGTGAACCCGACAGGCAGCACCATCACGGCCAGGGACACCACCCTCATGCCCAACATGCCAGGCCTGGCTGCCCTCGTCTGTCTCATGTTCACTCCTGTCGCGGAACTCAGGTGAGATTAATATCATGAAAGTTAATCTGTGTTGGTAGGTAAAAACTTTGATCTAGCACAAAGAAGTTCTCTCACCATGGCTTTTTTTGAAGTGTGACTTCTACTGAGGAAAAACAGTGACTAGTCGAAAGCTCTAGGTGAGAGAACTTCTTTGTGTTGGATCTAAAGTTTTAACTTTAAACATCAGGTAAGATGACTTATATAGGTTTATTGACCTGCCCTGAGGTGTGTACGGTGTCATAAGGCTGTTTCCTATAACCACCGGACAAACCACGGCCAGGGACACCACCCTTATGCCCAACATGCCGGGCCTGGCTGCACTCATCTGTCTCATGTTCACTCCTGTAGCAGAACTCAGGTGAGACTTCTATCATGAAAGTTAATCTGTGTTGGTAGGTAAAAACTTCGATGCAGCACAAAGAAGTTCTCTCACCATGGCTTTTTTGAAGTGTGACTTCTACTGAGGAAAAACAGTGACTGGTCGAAAGCTCTAGGTGAGAGAACTCTGAACTTCTTTGTGTTGGATCTAAAGTTTTAACTTTAAACATCAGGTAAGATGACTTATATAGGTTTATTGACCTGCCCTGAGGTGTATACGGTGTCATAAGGCTGTTTCCTATAACCACCGGATAAACCACGGCCAGGGACACCACCCTCATGCCCAACATGCCGGGCCTGGCCGCACTCGTCTGTCTCATGTTCACTCCTGTGGCAGAACTCAGGTGAGACTACTATATGCGTTTATATTTGATAAGTTTAATGACCCACCCTGAGGTGTATACGATGTCAAAAGGCCTGGTTGTTTCCCTTAACCACCGAATAAATTCTAGAATCAAACAGCTTCTTAGAAATGAAACAAAACAACAGCACCCTCCCATGTAATGGTTGGGTTTGAAAAAAAATTGACCAATGGAAACATTGCAAAAAGTGGTGAATATAGAGAAATAATGACCACAGCAAATGGGCGTGAACCCGACAGGCAGCACCATCACGGCCAGGGACACCACCCTCATGCCCAACATGCCAGGCCTGGCCGCTCTCGTCTGTCTCATGTTCACTCCTGTGGCAGAACTCAGGTGAGACTACTATCATGAAAGTTAATCTGTGTTGGTAGGTAAAAACTTCGATCCAGCACAAAGAAGTTCTCTCACCGTGGCTTTTTTGAAGTGTGACTTCTACTGAGGAAAAACAGTGACTGGTCGAAAGCTCTAGGTGAGAGAACTTCTTTGTGTTGGATCTAAAGTTTTAACTTCAAACATCAGGTAAGATGACTTATATAGGTTTATTGACCTGCCCTGAGGTGTACACGGTGTCGTAAGGCTGTTTCCTATAACCACCGGATAAACCACGGCCAGGGACACCACCCTCATGCCCAACATGCCGGGCCTGGCTGCCCTCGTCTGTCTCATGTTCACTCCTGTGGCGGAACTCAGGTGAGATTAATAAGTTTATATTTAATGACCCACCCTGAGGTGTATACGATGTCAAAAGGCCTGGTTGTTTCCCTTAACCACTGAATAAATTCTAGAATCAAACAGCTTCTTAGAAATGAAACAAAACAACAGCACCCTCCCATGTAATGGTTGGGTTTGAAAAAAAATTGACCAATGGAAACATTGCAAAAAGTGGTGAATATAGAGAAATAATGACCACAGCAAATGGGCGTGAACCCGACAGGCAGCACCATCACGGCCAGGGACACCACCCTCATGCCCAACATGCCGGGCCTGGCTGCACTCATCTGTGTTATGTTCACTCCTGTAGCAGAACTCAGGTGAGACTTTATCATGAAAGTTAATCTGTGTTGGTAGGTAAAAACTTTGATCTAGCACAAAGAAGTTCTCTCACCGTGGCTTTTTTGAAGTGTGACTTCTACTGAGGAAAAACAGTGACTGGTCGAAAGCTCTAGGTGAGAGAACTTCTTTGTGTTGGATCTAAAGTTTTTACTTTAAACATCAGGTAAGATGACTTATATAGGTTTATTGACCTGCCTGAGGTGTATACGGTGTCATAAGGCTGTTTCCTATAACCACCGGATAAACCACGGCCAGGGACACCACCCTTATGCCCAACATACTCCTGTGGCAGAACTCAGGTGAGATTAATATATAAGTTTATATTTGATAAGTTTAATGACCCACCCTGAGGTGTATACGATGTCAAAAGGCCTCTCATCCAACTACGAAATATCAAGACAATCAATTCAAGCCTTCTCAAGTTATTGTGTTTAAACTTACATGTGTATTACAGATACACACACACACACACAGACAGACAGACACACCCACAACGTTGGGGCCATCTGCTGCCTCGGCTGTGACCCGGAGTTTTGTGGTCCCCAGAGGATGTCATCCATAAAATTAAATCAGTGTGGCCTTATCGTGTTTACAGACACAGACAAACAGACACTAACGCCTCTGAAAGCATAACCTTCTTGGCAACTTCTTGGCGAAGGTAATAACCCCACAGTTCTCCCCAGGACCAACCGCTCCAACACCCACTACATCGGGGCCATCTGCAGCCTGGCCTGTGATCCCGAAACCATGTGTTTCCCAGCTGAGCAGTCTGTCTACATACATGTACAGTTGTGTATATCCTCACACATACATATAGCAAAATATAACTATGATTACTAACAGAAATAACTCCACTGTTCTCCCCCAGGACCAACCGCTCCAACACCCACTACATCGGCGCCATCTGCGGCCTCGGCTGCGATCCCGAGACCGGCATCGGCGTTCTGCCCGACCATGACCTCGAGATAACCTTCGATACGCATTTCAAGCAGGATTACCTGCACGCAGTAAGTTAGGTTCCCTTTTTTGATGCTTAAGCCCTGGACCTCAATGTTGATGGGTACCTGACTTCGATTGGGGAGGTAAAAGGCAGTGGAAAGAGAGGACTAGGCTCTGCCAGTTCAGTTTACTCTAAATGCATAATGTATAATTAGAATTTTGTTAAATTGATGGATTACCTCCATGATGTACATGTAAGTCAGGTTCCTTTTTTATGTCTAAGCCCCAGACCTCAGCTTAGCAGCTGGGTTGTCAGTAGTTGTTAATGGCAGAACACTGTTAAAGCACTGAGTGAGGCGTTATTGGGTAGGTTGACTACATCCCATTCCCATTCGGCACCACTCAGGTGACCTCAGTACGACAATTGGCCCAGGTGCAGCCATTGGACTGTGAGGTTTGAACCACTCATACCAACATCGAATGGTTCAGTGGCTAGGCTGGGGGACACAGGATTATGGGTTCGATTCCTGGCATTCTTGGCCGAATGTTGTGTCCTTCGGAAAGCCACTTCAGTTTTCTCACATCAGTTTTCTCACTCCACTTCACAAATGTACCTGTTATGTATCTAGTGGTCACCTGGTCAAATTTGCTCAGTTTCTTGAGTGTAGTTTTGTCATTGAACTTTTTTTTTCTACATAAAGAAAGGCCATTTTTATGATATATTATCATCAAAAACATTGTCCAAATCACTTTTAAGCTGAGGGATTCATTCCTCAGCTAACCGACATCATGCACACGCAGTCGTCCCTCAGTAAGACATCTGGAGCCGCATAGTTCCCGTTTAGATGTCTTACTGAGGGATGACTGCGTCTGCATGATGTCGGTTAGCTGAGGAATGAATCCCCTTGTGGGGTCGTGTGGCGTAGCGGCAGAGTGCGCGACTCGGAACTAAGAGCCCCGGATTCGAGTCCTGACATGCCACCGATCTTGTGCCCTTGGGAAAGGCGCTTTACACGGCTTTCCTCACTTAGCTCAGGTGTAAATAAGCATTGTCCTGTCATGTATTTGTCCCCTGTGTTGGTGGCGGCATTAATATAAGTTGAAAAAACTTGAGTGTGCCGTCACCACGTCTGGTGATTACATGTTGGAATAAAAAATTTTTTTAATCCCCTCGAATTCACATGGGCATACATCGTTCACGCAGGTGAACCGGGTGCGCATGGCCATCAACTTGGCTCAAGGGGTGCTCTCTGCTTTAGACACTGGATAAATAACCAACTGCCCCTACGTCCTTAAAGAGAATGGGACTAGTTTTTTTGCCAACTGTGGTTGTTAAAGTATTGCTTCAGCACTTTTTTCTTTAAGTTTAACTATTCCTTTTTTGCATTGAAATGAGGTTATTATTTATGGATCTTTTATGATATATTTTATAATATTTTCAAAGAAGTTGTTCAAATCAGCAAGACTAACCCATAGCACTAGTTTCGCAGCATCAGCAACCTTTGCATACTTTCACGCAGGTGAACCGGGTGCGCATGGCTATCAACTTGGCTCTGGGAAGTGAGAACAACATCGCTGCGTGGGGCCCGTCAGGTATTACCAGGATCCAGGAGAAAGCCAGGAGACACCTGCTCAAGTAATGATTTATTTATTTATTTATTAATGATAATAATAATGTTTATTTACTTCATAAGGCCATACCAATTTAATTTCTTGGATAACGGATTTTTCTAGAAAAATAATGGAGCGGGCGGGCGAAAAAAAAATAAAAATAAAAACAGGCCTAGGCATCGTGTTATGGCCCAAATGCTACGATAGGAGGTATGAAGTCAACACAAAAGGCTGGTTCAAAAATTAAACAATGAATTTTGAACTTCTAATGATACCACTGTATTGAAAGATGGAATAACTGTAACGACTATGAAGAAAAGGACTGTTTTCAACTGTTCAGGGCAAAATATGAGCATTTTGCAGTTGATTCTGAAATTTTTTTTTTTTTTTTGCAAATCAGGAAAAAATGAAGAGGCGAATCCGAGAACCAACAAATTAAATTGGTGTGGCCTTATATATGTAATAACGGCGGCTACAATCTCAGCACATTCTGGAGGCATTACATTAACCTAGTTTTTAAGTAGTTTTTCTTTAGGTATAACTTGATTATCGTGGTTTTAGTTATTGTATTTGTTATGCCTCTATCTCTTGTCTGTCTGTTTCTTAATGTGATATGGGCCAGGGGCCTGAAATAAAGAATAAATAAATAAAATAAAGTAATAAGATAAGATTTGCAACTTGTTATCCAAGCGAAGGCCACCATGTCAACTGACATGGTCTCCATTGTCTCTCGAGACAGAAGGATGCCAACAACTAAGAAAAATTTATTGCAAATTCATGCCCTGATTGCAAGAACAAAGGACATGTCAATAGAATAATAGTAAACAGTAAAATCACCATAAAATAATACTAACGTTATGACCTTAAAAGAGACGTTCTGTCGAAGTGCCCTGCACACTACATTACGGGTTTCACACAGACGCAGTATGTTAGACTACTAAGTATATGTCTTGTGTAGGCAGTCAAAAATTTCTGTTTGTAAAGTCAAAAGGGGAGACTTGTTAAGATCACAGGATATGTATATTATATATTAACTGCTAATCACGTCTACGTTATTCAACGTCAATTTGTACATACTGTAAAAATGACTAATATTAATGAGTTGGTTTTACGGTAAATTTGTAAATTTCGGCGCCATTCAGTTTTCACTGCAAGGCCGACTTATTCAATGTTTTATCAATCAACGAAAATAGTACTGCTACTATTAACTGCTAATCACGTCAACGTTATTTGTACGTACTATAAAAATGACTAATATTAATGCGTTGGTTTTACGATAGATTTGTAAATTTCGGCGCCATTCAGTTTTCACTGCAAGGCCAACTTGTTCAGTGTTTTATCAATCAACGAAAATACTACTAACTGCTACTACATGTAAGGCCACACCAATTTAATTTGTTGGTTCTCGGATTCGCCTCTTCATTTTTTTCTGATTTGCAAAAAAAACAAAAAAAGATTCTGGTTCTGAATCAACTAAAAAATGCTCATATTTTGCCCCCAACAGTTGAGGAAATTCCTTTTCTTCCTAGTTGTTACAGTTTTTTCCATCTATCAATGCAGTGGTTTGATTAAAAGTTCAAAATTTATACTTTAAATTTTAACCCAGCCTTTTTTGTTGACTTCATGGCTCATATTGTAGCATTTGGGGCTATAATAGGATGCCTAGACCTGTTTTTATTTTTATTTTTTTTTTGCCCTGTCGCTTCATATTTTTTCTGAAAAAATCCGAGAACCAACAAATTAAATTGGTGTGGCCTAAATACTAATGTTACTGCCAGATTGATGTCAGATTCCTCATGAGCTCACAGAACTTCTTCTTATTCTCCGTCAGCTTGATGCAAATCAAGCCAGACCCAATCGAACCACAGATGTTCCACAAGCCGTACTGGTGGAACCAGGTCAGTACAATTATTTACTATCAAAGTACTTAGTAAATACTATCATAAAAGTAATTAGAGCCAAGAGGACAAAAACATCAAATTCATCTTTCAGTGCATCTTTTAGTTCCACTAAGTATTGAGTGAGATCTCTTCTTTTGTAGTCATTTATTTAATCATTTACTAGTAATTGAAAGGAATTATATTTTGCTGAGTGTATATTGATTCATTTGTTATTTATATTTTTTGTTATTATTTATGTCAGTGCAAATATTTCTTTACTGTATTGGTACTTCAATTTTGTATTGATTGGAAAGTACATCAATTATTACTTTCATTACAAATTACAAATTGAATACAAAATCAGAGTAACTTAAATGACATATTAAGAGAAACAATTTTGTAACCTTATCATCTTATAACGTGGAAACGTTTCTCCACCTTTTTTCCAGGTGAATCCTGAAGATGTTCTGCTGCCCGGTCTGGAGGACACCAGTTCTGACTGTCCTCACCTCCTCAACCTACATCGGGGAATCTTTCTCGTGGAGGAGGTGCTGTTGTTGTTGTTATGTTTGCGGAAGGAAAACATTATGAAAAACTTAAACTTTTCTCCAACTCAAAATTTGACTCACCAGAAATTTTCGACTGAATCACTCAGTCTTCCTCAGCTATCTGAAGGAAACATATGTTTTGCTTCATTTTTTCTTTTTCTTCTTCTGTTCCTAACACTAACCTCTGACCTGGCCAATGGCCTCTTTGGTTGACGTCTATCACCATAGTAACTGGTGTTGGGTTACATAATGTTGCAATTTCATAGTATTTGTGGCATTTAGACTCCTGTCACCGTATCAATGTATGTGAATGTGTTTGAGTAAGAATTAACAGAGCAGACCATATCCGAAGGTAAACATTATGCATTTGCTTGGCAATTGTTATTTATATTTCAGTCCATACCATGGTATGGATGAAATATATTGTGTTCTCTGATGTTTCTTCTCCTTCTTCTTCTCCTTCTCCTGCCACACAGTCAAAGGGATTCAACTCCGCCATCATTCAGCCAAATGACTTGAAATTTGGCATGGAGGTAGAGTGAGCCAATACCCCCAGGCGTTTTTTTTTCATTTTTTTGATACATGCCTTTGAAAAATTTTTATGAAGGTTTTTTGGGACATTTTTCGCCAAAAATGGATTTTTGGATCCTGAGCCCTGGTTTTACAACCAAATGATCTGAAATTCGGTATAAGGGTACCTTGAACATGTGTCTACAGAATAGCAGTCACATATTTGGCATACACCACTTCCAAATGACTCATTTGGGGG